ACCTTATCTCAGATTCTCCAGCATCTGCAGTTCCTACTGTCTCTATTCTATTCTATTCAAGTTTGTTTCTATTCTTATCAATCAAATTGAACCTTGAGTGTCTCCAGCACTATTTTGCCCTGGTATCATTACCTCTGGAGCTCCAGTACTCAATATAGTCTGAGAGAGAGGTTTATTCTGTATCTAACTCAATGCCGCATCTGTTCTCAGAGTGCTTGATAGGAAAGATGTGGAGGACGCTTTACTCTGTATCTAACTCCGTGCTGTCTCTATCCTGGGAATGTTTAATGGAGATAGTGTAGAGAGAGCTGTACTCTGTATCTAATCTTGTGCTGCCCCTGACCTTTACTCTGTATCTAACCCCTTGCTGCCCCCGCCCTGGGAGTGTTTAATGGGGACAGTGTTGAGAAAGCTTTACTCTTGTACCTAACTTCGTGCTGTACTTTACATTGACTGCACAGGCAACAGCAGGACTCAAAGGGTTAAGGGATACCTGTGAGAATGTTACTGGCTCCTCCCCAGAGGTGTGACAAATACAACAGCGTTCTAATCACTACATGATCAGTCTCTACCAGACAGAACATGCAACAGGCTGTCTGCACTGATCTAAAGCTAACTACTTATTCAATTCTGCCTGACTGTCTGCTACCAACTGTTAAAGCAGAATTTAGATTCTCTTCAAGACATTTCATTGTAACAAATCAGTTGGAAGACCATTATTGGAAAGAATCCCACCCAATTTTCCCAGTCTTATAGGAGCCGTGTGTCTCTCTCCGTGCCTGGAGTCCGGGGACAAAATGCCAGGGCTCTTGTGGGGAGGCTGGAGGTCAACCTTACTGAACTGGCTCCGTGGCCTGGTGCCAGACCTGCAGTCTGATGAGGAGTTTGGTCCAGAGGTTTATGAACAACATGTGAGACAGCAGAAGAGGTAAGTGAGATGCAGGAGCACGAGGAGGGTATGATGAAAGGATGCAGGGTTCAGTGTGCCAACGCCACCTTTTTTTTTGGACAAAACCACCTTCTGTGGCCACGGATGCTGTCACTTGGCAAATCCGAGTCAGCCCTGAACAGGAACACGATCCAGACTGCCCCACTGAGGGGCCACATCAAAACGTGGAGATACATAGAGGGGAAACAGTTAAGGGGGGAGAATATCAAGTGTGTTTGGATGCATTGTCAGAGGCAAAGTTAAACAGGAAAAGTAAGAAGTGGACAAGCTGACATGCAGACTAGCCCCCCCGAAATGGTCACATTCCCAGTTTGCCATCTGATCCCCAGAGTGGAGCTCTGTAAGGTTTGTTGCCTGGAAGTTAAATTCTGATCTTACTGAACACGAACTCAATGCAACAATGTCACCTTCTGCGTCTGCTCATTGACCTGAGGAATTGGCCCAAAGCAATCCATACCTACAGCTGGCTAAACCCGAAGCCGTCCCTGACCCGCCCCAGCTTGCAGCACTCCTCTGCTCCTTTACACCCTCCTCAAAATCCTACCTTCTTCACATTACAGTCTGTTCTCTTGCCCTCCCTCTAGTTTGTCAATCCTGTCTCACAGCACTGTCCTGAAGCAACTCTCTGAGTGGATTCACATGTTGATGTTGGGTGTGAACGTTTTAGATCTCGACACGCCAGTATTGCAAACAGAGTCGGGCCCCTGGCAATGTTCTGGCAGGCCAGTAACCCATTCTGTTCAGGGCAGGCAAGGCCAGAGAGTGAGCAGCCATCACCTAAGGCAGTACTGGTGCCCCCTTCTATGCCAATACACACCGTGGCATTGGTTGAAGACTGGAGTCAGGGCACTCGCTCACACCCACCACATGCTGAGTCTGGAGAATGACAGTTGCCCGTTGTGGAAGATCCTGGAAGTTTCTGTCTGTGTCAGTCGGATCTCCCCACCTCTCTCCCGGTGTTCACTGCACATGGCACATTAAGCTCAGCATACAGACTGAGCTGAAAACTGGGAATTGATATGGTGCATCCATGTGCATTAGTTCAAACTGTAACCCCATCCTTTCTGTCACAGACCCTGACTAACCCAGGCCACAGTTCCAGCTTTGGTAGCATAGGCTGTTTGGAATGTCGCTGCTTCTGTAAGATTTGAGTGTTGTTTTGTCATCTCACCATCGTATCATTAAACCTGGCGATCATGCAGCACACCCCATCATTTTGAGCAGGACCCCATCAGGTGCTGGGTGTTGGCACCATTTCATACTTGTCACTAGGTGTCAGCACTGAGCTGTCTGACCTCAGGAATAACACAGATTATAGTAGAAGCAGGGAAACTGCAAAATTAACTAACTCCTGCAATACATCCCACTTGTGAAAACTTATGTTTCAGAAACTGCCTGAATTATTGCTCATGTATAATTTTTCAGAATTATTTTTATATAATATACAACTGCCTCTACACTGTCCTACAAATGTTCCCAGGACAGGGACAACACAGGGTTAGATACAGCTCCCCCTACACTGTCCCCATCAAACACTCTAAGGAAAGTGACGGAACAGCATTGGATACAGAGTAAAGCTCCCTCCACACTGTCGCCCATCTAAAACATCCAGGACAGGGACAGCACAGGGTTAGATACAGAGTAAAGCTCCTTCTACACTATCACAACTGAACACCCCAGGACAGGGACAGCATGGGGTTAGAAACAGGTTTTATTGGATCTAATTAATTACGTATTTATTGTCACAAGTACTTGTTACTTGTATTTATTACAAATACAGTGAAAAGTGCTGTATAACGTCGCCACTATCCAGTACCATCTTAAAAACACAGGAAAGAAAGGCAGCAAAGTGATGCAGTGGTTAGCATTGCTGCCTCACAGCACCAGGGACCCGGGTTTGATTCCACCCTTGGGTGACTGTCTGTGCGGATTTACTCCCATAGTCCAAAGGTGTGCAGGTTAGGTGGATTGGCCATGGGAAATCACCCGTAGTGTCTCGGATGGGAAATGCTGGGATAGGGTAGAGGATGGGTCTGGGTGGGATGCTCTTTGGAAGGACAGTGTGAACTCAGTGGGCCAAATGGCCTGCTTCTACACTGTTAGGGATTTTATGATGATGATGATGATAAATCAGGATATAGAAAATAACGGAAAGAAATAAAGTTAAAAGTTTGACATTACAGTCCTTCTTGTTAAGTGTCTGAACCATGGGCCTGGATCGGGGCTCTTCCTCCCGGATGCTGACCGACACCAGTATAAAGTAGTTAGCCAGCTTTGAGTCCCTTCACCGCTGGAACCGCGTCAACATTTTTCGGCGCCATTTTGCCTCACCACCAACATCATCACCATGAGTCTGCGCTGGACCAACCAAGGCAATGCAGCATAAGTTGCCATTGTCGCAAACTGGGACCAAACTCAACGCTGGTTAATGTCTGTCCAACAATCTAACAGCACAGAAAGGACTGCACTGGGGCATTATAGCTACTTGTTGTCAGCATCTTAATATATTCACTCTCTCTCTCTATTAACAGGATCAATGAGTCACTTCTACTTTTTGCAGCTAAAGAAAATAAAGACCAGGATATTTTTAAACTTGCTCAGTGTCCTTCATTTAACCCTTTGGAAACAGGTGAGAAGCATTGTTTTAAATCACAGAATTGGTTCGGCACAGAACAAGACCATTTGGCCTGTTGTGCCTGCCCTGACTCTCTGAATGAGCGGTTCCAACCTTCTGCTTTTCCCCCTATAATCCTGGACATTGTTCCGCTTTAAATAGTTATTTTTCAATGTACTCTTGAATTCCTCAACTGATCCTATTTCTGTCATAATTCCAGACAGCACGTTCCCTGACCTATCAAATCACTATGTGATAAATGGTTTTTCACTGTCGCATTTGCTTCTTTTGCAGGTTATTTTAAATCTGTGAGCTTTCATTCTTGATTCTTTTACAGGTGGTAACAGTTTCTCCCAATCTACTCTATCTAGTCTCCCTGTGATTTTGTAAACTTCGATCAAATCATTCCTTGGTATTCTCCTCTTCAAGGGGAACAGCCCCGACTTCTCCAATCTAACCTCGTAACTGAACTTTCTCATCCCTGGAGCCATTCTCATCAACCTCCTCTGGGCTCGTGATTTCACATACATTGAAGTTCTAATAAGCTGTTTAAACACAAATTTCCCTTAAGAAATCCTTGCTGGATCTCCTTAACAAATGCACCTTGGTCCAGACGAGTATTAATTCTGGACAAATTATTGTTTCTGAAAGTTTCCCCACCTCTTAAGTTAAACGGACCTGGCCCATAATTGTTGGGCTCATCCTTACACACTTATGTTTTTATTACCAGGATGTACTTATGTCAGGTATGATTTGTCTGGCTAGCACGCAAAACAATACTATTCACTGTATCTCAGTACATGTGACAATAGTAAATCAAATCAAATCAAAATCTACTCCATGTGCACTTTATGCCCAAATTTCTATTTGTGATCCAACTTTAACGTAGTATTGGAACTGCTTATGTGAGCTGCCTAGGTAAACAGCTGCATGTCACAACATTTAGTTTAAATGCTGTTTTCCCTTTGCTTCACTCTTCTTGTGAATTCTCCCAACAAGTGCAAGATGGAAACCTTGTTGTCTTTTTCAGCAATCTTCAAGTTCTGTACTGCCAAATACCAATGTGTACATCTTATTGAAATCCATAACATCCTGAAGGGACTTAAAGGGGCAAATGCTAGCTCTTCTGGAGGACACCAGAATTAGGAGGCACAGTTTAAGAATAAGGGCTTGATCTTTCAAGACAGAGATAAGGAGAACTTTGTCCTCTCAGAGAGTCGTTGATCTGTGGAATTCTTTTTCTGAGGAAGCAGTGAAGCCTGGGCCTTTGAAGTGACTCATGGCAAAGTTAGAAAGAATTTTGATTGATAAAGGAGTCAAAGGTGACGAGGATCATACAGGAAAGTGGAGTTGAGACCACTACCGAAGTATCATAACCTTATTGATCAAAGGACTGTATGGTCTACACCTGCTCCAAGACCAATGTTTCTACATCTGACCCAGCTTCCCTTAGCCATGGTGAGAGCCAATGGGGTCTACTGTTTAGGGTTCCAGGGTTTAACTCTCAAATGATCCATTCTCCATCTTGATGAGAAACAGGAAGGAGCTGCTCATACATCTAGGGTGCCATTAACCCTGTCAGGGGCTCTGTCAACTCTGCCTCTCCCAGGGAGAAAAGGTGGCTTCGCACCCACAAAATAACAGCCCCTTCAAATCAATACCCTACATTTAGCAAAAGAGTTTTACGTTCTCAAACGTACATTTAGGGCAGGCTGATTAAGTTACAAATTGATGTTCTGTTTAACACATCTTCAGGACACTGCTGTTTATAGAAATATACCTCAGGAAGAACTGGGATAGATACAGGATGAGGCTATGCAGCTCAGAGAGTCTGTTCTGCCATTCTGAATGTGTATAACTGATCTACACCTTAGGTCTTTCTACCCACTTTTTGAATTATCCCAAACATCTTTTGTTGCATAATTATTTGCTACCCTTTGAACAGATTCAAAAAGCTAAAGATAGTATTACATCTGATAATCGTTGCAATACTTCAATACAGAGCAACACACAGTTACTTTCACATAAAACATGTGTCAGATTTGATGAGGAAGTTTGAAGATGGCTTCTCCAAGGCTATTCGGCCAATTGAGCCTGCACCACCATTCAATATCATCGTGGCTGATCATGCAGTTTCACTCCAGCCGTCTCTCCATACCCCTTGATCCCTTTAGCCGCAAGGGTCACATCCAGCATCGTCTTAAATATAACTTTGGAAGAAATGTTACGTGTTCGATTCTGTAACCCTGGAGGTCTCACAGTCTGGTACTGATGTATTCACCTTTGGACCAGGAAATCCCAACCTAATTCCCATGCCAGGACCCATTGGCCATGTAAGTGGGTCTGTAATGTGGCTATAAACCCAGGGTCAGCCTGAAAATCCTTCCAATTCTCCTGATAGCAGGCAATAAGAATGGGAGACTCTCCTGTTCAGTTACCATGTAAAAGGCAATGACCAACTACTTTGTGCACAAGTGGGGACCAATCCAATGGAAGTCCATGATCCAGGTTGGTAGTAAAGGACAGACTATAGCATCACCCCACCCTCCCCAAAGTGGGTACAATGAATCACTGTGCTTTGTCTTTGCTGTCTTTCCCTCAGGGCTCTCCCAGCTTTACTAAATCCCATTTGCTTCACTCTATCGCTGCAGGCATACTGGGGGAGACAGCATTGCATGTAGCCGCTGTGTACAATGCCAACAGGGCAGCAATCGCTCTCCTTGATATGGCTCCTGAACTCATGAACATTTCAATCTCAGGCGAGCTCTATGCAGGTACTCACTGTTTGGTTTTATATCAGTCTGAGGGTAAGTCAGCATGGGACTCTTTGGGAAACTTGAATATAAGCACTGTGTACCCCTACACATGCACAATACTGAGGGAAGAACAGGGAATGGGAAATGAGTGAGGAATGTGGGAATGGGCAGTGTATTGGGGTGTGGGCAGTGAGTGGGGAATGGGGTTAAGGGTTAGGGCAGTGAGTGGGGGATGGACAGTGACTGGCGGATCGGAGATGGGCAGTGAGTGGCGGGTGGGCAGTGAGTGGGGGATCGGAGATGGGCAGTGAGTGGGGGAGAGGTGGGCAGTGAGTGGGGGTGTGGGCAGTGAGTGGGGGATGGGAGATGGACAGTGAGTGGGGGGTGGACAGTGAGTGGGGGATGGGATATGGACAGTGCGTGGGGGGTGGGCAGTGAGTGGGAGATGGACAGTGAGTGGGGGGTGAGCTGTGAGTGGGGGGTGGGCAGTGTGGGAGATGGACAGTGAGTGGGGGGTGGGCAGTGAGTGGGGGATGAGCAGTGAGTAGGAGATGGACAGTGAGTGGGGGGTGGGCAGTGAGTGGAGGATGCACAGTGAGTAGGAGATGGACAGTGCGTGGGGGGTGGGCAGTGAGTGGGGGATGCGCAGTGAGTAGGAGATGGACAGTGAGTGGGGTGTGGGCAGTGAGTGGGAGATGGACA